ATCCACCTCATCTTTACCTAGATCAGTGGTTCTCAACCTTCTGGCCCTTTAAATACAGTTCCTCATGTTGTGACCCAACCATAAAATTATTTTCGTTGCTACTTCATAACTGTAATGTTGCTACTGTTATGAATCGTAATGTAAATATCTGATATGCAGGATGGTCTTAGGTGACCCCTGTGAAAGGGTCGTTCGACCGCCAAAGGGGTCGTGACCCACAGGTTGAGAACCACTGACCTAGATGAATTCAGTAATTTACCTAATCCCTGCTGTCTTACTCCCAGTCCCCCAGGCTATTCTTAATACAACAACTAGAAGGACCTTTTAAAATGGAAGTTAGTTCATTCTAAATACTTCTAAATACTTCCCAATAGTTTTCCTTTCACTCAAAATGAAAGCTAAAGCTCTTACAATTGGTCCCTACAAAATCTGGATTCCTGTCTCCTCTCAGACCTCATCTGCAACTGTTCTCCCAATCTCTCACTTGCTGTTACTTACACATGCTAAAGCATACTACCAATTTCAGATTTTTGCATGTTGCTGTTTCCTCTGCTTAGAGTACTCATTCCCAGATAGCCACATGCTTTCTTCCTTATTTCCTTGGGGGGCCCTCCTTTTCAGCTGGGAAAACTGTATAGAATAGGGAAAGAGATACAGGGATCTAACAAGCTTCTTGAACAGCTTCCACTTAATTCTTATTTTAGTATCTACCACTCTTTCACCTCCAATATCCAGAGCTTTGAGAAATCTGAAACATAGACTGGGTTGGTTCTTAGTTTTATTGACTACTTGTTTCAGAATAGGTTATTTTAGATTTGCTAGTTGCCACTCATCTGCTTTCAAACTTCCAAAAATGTATGGCTGTTTTCTTCTCTCTTATCTGACCCATTCTTATGGTGTACAACTTAAAGCAAACAAACATTAAAAACCTCTATACTATGCTTTTAGTAGGGGTTAGAGAGGGGACTGAATATGGATATATATGTCATCCTGCCATCAAAGTGGACATTTTAACCCATTTGACTAAAAAACATGAATTATTAGGCACCTTCAAAAGGGTAAAACATTTTATAAAAATAAAGAAGAAAGCACTACAAACTTTTAAAATACTTTTTTAAAAATCACAAATATAGCCCTGGCTGGTGTGACTTGGTTGGGCATTGTCCTGTGCACCAAAAGATTGCCAGTTCGATTCCCAATCGGGGCACATGCCTGGGTTGTGGGCTCAATCCCCAGCAGGGGGCATGCAAAAGGAAGACAATCGATGTGTTGCTCTCATCTCTCTCTCTCTCTCTCTCTCTCTCTCTCTCTCTCTCTCTCTCATCACTCTCTCTCTCTCTCTCTCTCTCTCTCTCTCTCTCTCTCTCTCTCTATCTGCCATCCTCTCTCTCTAAAAATTTGGTTTAAAATTCTTTAAAAGCGAGAGAAATAAAAGTGTCGATGGTGTGGACCCCCCTTAGTTTAAAAAAAAAAATCACAAAAATAAAACCCACAAAATTCATGCATGGGGGGGGGGTTGGGGGGGGGCTGTCCCTCAGCCCAGCCTGCATCTTGTCCAATCTGGGGATGTCCGACTGCCGGTTTAGGCCCGATCCCATATCGGGATCGGGCCTAAACCGGCAGTCAGACACCCCTCTCGCAATCCAGGACGGCTGACTCCTAACCACTCACCTGCCTGCCTGCCTGATTGCCCCTAACCACTCTACCCCCCCCCCCCGGGCTGGACACCCCCAACTGGGCCCCCTGCCAGCCTGATCACCCCCAACTGCCCCCCCCCCCTGGGCTGATTGCCCTTTACTGCCTCTGCCTCAGCCCCGCCACCATGGGTTTGTCCAGAAGGCCTCCCCGGCTAATTAGCATATTAACCTTTTATTAGGAAAATGCTAAAATTACTAAAACTTTTATTCATTTGGAAATTCCTAAAAACAACCGAATACTATCAATGAATCAGTATGTACTATTTGTGATAATCCCGATTTATGTGGTGATACAGGAGACCTCTCCATATTTTTGGAAAAGCAGAACCCTGATCATCATTAAAAAAAAAAGTAAGTAACCAAATTTCATTTATTACAAACTTCTGGGAAACCCCTTTAAAATCTGAAGTGCTCAGGGAGCTATAATATAGTTATAGAAAAATAAATTAAATAGTGGTCTCTCTCACTCACCTAGGGTTAAGGTCTGGTTTACTCTAAGAGAAAGAGGCAATTTCAAAGCATATTGTTCTATATTATCAGATAAAGCAAATGAAAAGTATATATCAATCAAAAGAACAATAGCGGTTATAAATATGTTTTTATCATTGCTGTTATAGCAATCTTCTACAAATTTGGCAACTAGAAACAAAACTTACCTGTCTAAGAATATATCTGGGAGCGGTGGGTAGGTCTGCATGTCAGGCACTCGCTCATGGACTATAACCATAATGAAAGATGTAAAACCGAATACTATAAAAACATATATACAACTCAATATGGTCTTCCAGTACTCTGGGTCCAATCTTCGAACAGAATGTTTGTTTTTACCATTCATGTATTGGTACTGATCAGAATTCAAATCAATGATGGGTCCATCACAGTCATGTGAAGGCTCCCCATTACAGAGCCACTCTGCACTCTGAAGAGCACTGATGAAAGGGGTCATGGAACTCATGGGACTGTCACTGTTGTATCCCATCTCTTCTAAAACATCAATATGTATTTTCTGCAATTTCCGGACGGAAAGCATTAACCTTTTAATGTCCCCTAAGACTTTGATTTCCAGAGGAGGAGACCGGAGATCATATTCAGTTAATGTTAGCAATGTGATTCCATCAAGTCGGTGCTTATTGCATAATATGTCCACATATTCAAAGAAGCCTTCATCCTTCAGCCAAACAGCCACATGCTTGGTTGTCCAGCGGCGAATGCAGAGTTGATTAGGACCAGCCATTTCCTCCTCCACTGTCTGTCAAGGGAAAACAGAAAAACAAAACAAAATCTTCAGTGTGTCTTAGCAACTCCTTTGAAGACCAAATACGCATAAACATACCAGAAACGGTAATTTACCTACACTGCCCTATTGGCTTCTAGAATAAAGAAACAAATATTCAATAATGAGTGGTTTTCAATAGGTTAAAATTCTAATAATTTATGCCTATTATCCCATTAACATAAAGGAAGCTAATGACCAAACATTTTTACAAAAAATTTTTTTATAAATGACTTTTCCACACCATAGCAGCCATAACTTAATTATATAAAGCCTACTATTGAAAGCAATGGAGAAAATCCCATTTTAATACTTTTCATAAAATGAGATGTAAAGATTTATTATATGTAAAAAATAAATTTCAGAAATCTTCATGTTCATGGAATAAGTATTGCCCCCTCTTCCAAAAAGAAAAAAAACACCACATTAAAAAACAAAAACAAACACAAAAAAACCTGGCTGGTGTGACTCACTGGTTGAAAATCACCTATCGCCCTAACCGCTTTGGCTCAGTGGATAGAGCATCGGCCTGTGGACTGAAAGGTCCCAGGTTCGATTCTGGTCAAGGGCATGTACCTTGGTTGCGGGCACATCCCCAGTAGGAGGTGTGCAGGAGGCAGCTGACTGATGTTTCTAACTCTCTATCCCTCTCCCTTCCTCTCTGTAAAAAAATCAATAAAATATATTTAAAAAAAAAAAAAAAAAAAAAGAAAATCACCTATGAACCAAGAGGTAAGGGTTTGATTCCCAGTCAGGGTACATGCCCAGGTTGCAGGCTCAATCCCCAGTAGGGGGCATGCAGGAGGCAGCCAATCAATGATTCTCTCTTATCATTGATGTTTCTATCACTCTCTCCCTCTTCCTTCCTCGGAAATCAATAAAAATATATTTCAAAACAAAACAGAACACCACAGGAGAACCAAGATGGCGGTGTAGGTAAATGCCTGTACTTGCTGCCTCCTACAACTATATTAAAATTACAACTAAAATACAGAACAACCATCATCCAGAACGGCCTGAAAGCTGGCTGAATGGAAGTCCTACAATCAGAGAAGAAAAGAAGAAAGCATATTGAGACTGGTAGGAGGGGCAGAGTTGCAGACGGGGCTGGATGAGCACTCACATGTGCCACTTTTTAATCAGGAGGGAGATCATCTCTGTGGAGGCCCATGAGGAGCAAGAGGCCCAGCCCCACACCAGAACCCCAGCCCTGGCTCCCAGAGCTGGGAAAATAAGTCCCCATAACTATAGGCTGTAAAAACCAGCAGGGATTGGGGCTCAGTAACATGGAGGCTGCTGGAGACCCAGCTGTTCCTCTTCAAGGGTCGGTGCACAAACTGAACTTACAAAGTCTTACTTCCTCTGCACTCCAGTGTCAGGGCAAGGCTCTGGGGGACACAGACGCATATGAGGAGGAAGTAGACTACCTGACATTGGGGCAGGAACTTGAGGATAGCTTTCTCCCAGACAGAGGTGCTGGCAGGGGTCATGGTTCTTATGCTGGGACCTCCTCGGTAGGAGGGCTGACTGGCAGCCACTTCTGTTTGCTCTGCCCTAGTGATTCCCTGAGACCCTGCCCCATCCAATTTGCAACCCCCACCCAACCTGTGTGCAGCCACTTTTGCATATGAATGACCTGTCCTTGCTCAGGCTTCAGACTTCGCTAAAATCTCTCAAACAAGCTGCAGCTGGGTCAGGGAGCCCCAAACCTATCAATAAAAGGCCCAAGTCCTGGCACTATACCAGCCTGCCTTACTTCACAGCTGGGCCTCGCCTGGGCACTTCCAAACCAGATACAAAGAGGAGGAATCTGCAGATCTGTCTGTAGTTCCTGCTGGGTGGCCCCAGGCAATGGCTGACTTTGCACTTTCCTGGAGACCCAAGAGCCAGTGCACCCAGTGGTCAGCATTAGACCATACCAGATTACAACTCTACACATCCATAAGTGACACACTCAAGGGGTAGATTCAGTGAGCACCAAAGCCCCACTGAAGCAAGTCCTGCTCCATAGGGGTGTCTCCTGCATAGCAGCTCTCCCATTGTAGTTGCAGCTGGTCCCCACAGCCAATTGGCCTGGAGGTCAATTCCTTCCAGTGACACCAACAGCAATAAAGTCTCAACTGTAACAAGATTGTGCATACAGCCCTCAAAAGGGCACACCTAGAGTGCTCAGCTCAGGTGAGGGAGGCTAAGCCACTGGGCCCTTTAGGACACCTACTACACAAGGCCACTCTACCAAATTAAGGAGACATAGCAGCTCTACCTAATATATAGAAACAAACACAGGGAAGCAGCCAAAATGCAGAGACAAAGAAACATGTCACAAATAAAAGAAATAGAAGAAAGCAAACTATTGGATATAGAGTTCAAAACCACAGTTATAATGTTACTCAAAAATCTTCTTGAGACCTCAAAGACTTAATGAGACTTTTCAGGATCTTAGTGAGAATGCCAAAAAATGGAAAAGGACCATCAGAAATTAAGCATACACTGACTGAAATAAAGAATAACATACAGGGATTCAACAGTAGAGTAGAGGATTCTGAGAATCAAATCAATGATTTGAAATATGAGGAAGCAAAAAACACCCAATCAGAAGAGCAAATTGAAAAAAGAATCCAAAAATATGAAGATATATAAGGAGCCTGTGGGACAACTTCAAGTGTACTAACATTCGCATTATAGGGGTGCCAGAAAAAGAGAGAGAGAGTAAGATATTGAAACCTATTTGAAGAAATAATGACAGAAAATTTCCCCTACCTGGTGAAAGAAATAGAAGAAAAAAAGATAAAAAATATGAGAATTAAAAATGTACTAAATACATATCTATCAACAATTAAATCTAAAAATCAAAATAAACAAATGAGAAATCTAATGAACAGAATAAACTAGTGAGTAAAATAGAATCAGAGGCATGGAAATGGAACAGACTGATGATTCTCAGAGGGAAGAGGGATGGGGGGGAGCAGGAAGAGATTAAACAAAGATTTTATATGTATATATATGCATTACCTATGGACACAGACAATAGGGTAAAGAAGGCCAGGAGTGGGGCAGGAACCAGGTGAAGGGAAACAATGGAGGGAAAAAGGAGGGACATCTGTAATATTCTCATCAATAAACATTTAAATAAATAAAATAAAATAAAATAAAATAAAATAAAAAAACACACCACAATGGTAGATAGATAACTAATTTCAGGAAACCCCTTAGATCAAGCATATTTCTGTGTACTATAAAAACAACAATTTCTATAACAGATATATAGCTTTTAAACTAGATATAAATATTTATAAATATCTTATTAGCTCAGTTTTTCTATACTTTGAGTATCCCATTATAGAACTGAATAAGGAATTTCCTTCTTAAACTATCGAGATTTTAGTGATAAAAATTTAAAACCAAAACTGTCATTTCAACAAATCCATAAATTTGAGGACCCAAACTTTATATTGCAAACTATAAATGGCTAAGAATGTATTGTTCCAAAAAGTACAAATAATTTTTATTACGTTGATCCCACACAGCACTGTTCTTTTTCCATTTTAAAACTTTCAGTAACTTGGACCAGTATCAGGTTTATAAACTTTTATCAGATACACGGGAGACAAAGGCCTACATGGGAAAAACCTATTTCCCTAAAATTTCTCAACTAGTAAGGCCTGTGGTTTTCTGACATTTTCCAGATCTCTCAAAACCATATTTCCTTCTGAGATGATATTTATAAAACATACTTTAAATTACTTAAAAAAGAATGATACAACAAATACCCATGTGGCCACTACCCAGATCCAATACAAATGTTCTGTTTCTTAATATGAGTATTAGTTTACAGATATATTCACTTTGTGAAAATTCATCAAGCTATATATACTTACGATCTACACTTTTCTCTACATGTTAAATTTTATTTAAAAAGTTTGCTTTCAAAAGCAAAACCAAATATAAATACAAGTAAATGTCCTTTCCTGATAGCATCCCCTTCCTCTACTCCGATGTAATAAATAATTCCTGATTTTGGTGTTTAGCATTCCCTTAGAACATGCATTTTTGGCTATGAAACAGCTTCTATGCTGCCTTATGCTGAGGAAAGTAAAAAGCTGCTACTGTTCTGAATTCTCTCCCTACCCACACACACTCTTGAAAAAGGCAGATACTTAACTACATGAGCACCACTGACACCATCAAAAATATTCAGCAAACAAGAAATACTCTCATTAAATATTTATTTCTTAATTACTAAAAAGCAATCCTAGTTTTTGGAAGCCTTAAATCATATTTTGTTTCCAAACAGAGATCTTAACATTATCAATACACAATAGCTTTTCAGTCTTGGAAAATTAACAGCATATCCATCCATAAGTTATCTGCACATTTAAAAAGGCTATCTAATTCTTATATACTGAAGAGCTACAAAAAACTCTTTTCTCAACTCTTATCTAGAGCATATAATCACCTGTCCCAAAGGCCAAAGCATTATGATTTATTCACTTTAACACATGGAATTTATACACATTGATGCATATCACTGAATACATAAATATACATAATATTCCATTAACGTATGATTTCACTGTTTTATTTATATACATAGCCAGATGGTTTCATCCTGCCCACTAAGGTATGTACATATCTTTCCCCCAACCGCTCTGAATAAATTACTTCATCCTTGAAAATCCAACAAGCACATGCTACAATTTCTGCAGCAGTTACAACGCAGCAAATTTGTGAAGCTCATTCACACAAAACAAGGCTTGACTTCTGTTATTTTATTTCTATTTTGCTACCTTTCTCCTCTTTCCAACAGCTTACCATCAATGGGTTCCAAGTCACTCCCATCCTTGTAGCATTATTTTTCAGTATAGATTTGTATCATAATCTGCTCAAAATGATCTTCTTTTTCATTGTTTTTTCTTTCTTATATCACCAGTTCTTTAGACCCTCAATCAGGCTAACAGACCAAGCTTTGATGGTGG